GCCGGAGCACTTTCCGAGTCCTCTGCCCACGCTGCCCGCCCCCAGCCCTCACTTCCGGCCCCGCCCGCACGGCCGCACTAGCGAGCCCGGCGGGCCAGAGAGGCCGGGTGCGCGGCAGTGCCACCGCGTGGGCGCCTCCGGCATTGCTGGCGCTGCGCCGGCCAGGGGGCGGGGCCGCGGCCTCGGGTGCCACTCAGCCCCCGCAGTTTCCCGCTGGGCCAGGACCAGCCCGCTCTGGGCAGGATCGCCCTTGCAGGTGGACTGGCCAGGACCTCAGTTCTGGACAGGGAACAGGAGGCCTGGGATTTGGGCAGAGGCTGATCTCAGGCCAGGCAGGAGAGCCAGGCCCAGGGCATAGGAGCCTGGAGTGACCAGCAGACAATGCGACAATGCAACACCCACATTTATTTCAACTGTACAGGTAGAAACACAGAAAAGCACTCAGGTGCCAACAAGCACTTTACACATGTTTGGGGTCTTGATGATTTACATACAGAGAGTCCTGAGCCCAACCAGTGTGAAGGGACTGCGCCCACCCAGCCACCCTGGCCTAGCACGAGGTTCTCCACTAACCCGGCTTCTCAGGAGAGCCCCTGCCCAGGCCAGGTGCCCAGTGTGACCGGGACAGCACACCTGACCCCAAGGTCCCCAGTGCAGCTCAGCAGTCTGTGACCTCCCACACCAAGATCTCGTTGTGGGCCGCCGTGAAGAGCAGGCTGGCAGACGGGGCAAACCTACAGAGCTGTACCCCGTCGTCGTGGCCAGCAAAGTCTTGTGCGGCCCCTGACACACAGTCCACCAGCCTCAGCACACGCTCTGTGGGCAAATGGTATGGGGTGGGCCCTGTGCCCATGCCTGCAACTCCAGGGCCCAGGGGTTCCCCACCCACCCTGGCTGTCTTCAGCTGGATGCTGAATTACCAGAGAATCTGCGCTAAATGGCCTGTCTCCCACACCCACGGCCAAGAAAGAGCCCATCACTGTCAGGGTGTCTAACAACATAGGGTTTCTAAGGCCCCAAACTGGGCCACTGAGCCCCTCTATTTAGTGCTGGACTCAGTATCCCACTTCAGAGATGAGGGTGCAGATTTGAGGGGCATGTCTCAGTGTGGGGGTACAGGTGAGTCCCCTAAGCCCCACTAAGATAGGCTGAGTCCACACCCACCAGTACTCACCAGCAAAGCCAATGGCCATGAAGTGGGCCCTGGGGGACAGACTCAGGGACACAGCAAAGAAAGGCAGTGGGATCTTCTTCACCACCTGCGGGCATCGAGCACAGGGCAGTTAGCAGCGGTTCCCATGGCCCGGGACCCTCCCCTCCCGGGGTCACGGGGGGCGTGCACATGCCTGCTTCAGGCAGAGGCTGTAAAAGACCACCTCTGGATGGGGGCCGAGGCCTGCACACACCAGCAGCGTCCTATCCCAGGGACAGAAGGCGGCGAGGGAGGGTGGCGAGCAGTCTGAAGCCTGAGGAAAGGCACAACGTGCTGTGGCAGGATGGGCAGGCACCGACCCCACCCGAGGTGCCCCCAGGACCCTCACCTCCGTGAGGATCGGTGCCGGGAAGCTCAGCCAGTCCACCAGCTCACAGCAGTCCCGCAGCCAGTCGGAGGCCCAGATGCTGACCCGCTGGTCCCCGCTGGCGGCCAACCACAAGTCTGTGCCCTCCACCCCGAAGGCTCCATTCTGGGCGGGTAAGGGCAGGTGAGTACCTCCTGCCCCACTCTGCCCAAGCCCCTTCTCTGCCAGCACCCCCCAGATGAGGCCTGCTGGCCACTTCACCTCCTTGCTCGTGCTCTGGATGGTAGAGATGGGAGCGCCCCGGTGGTCGCTCAGTGTGCGGAAGGTCAGACCTGTGCGTGGCTGGCTCACCGCCACAAGCCCGTCCTTGTCTCCAGAGATGATGGTCTGACCTGGGCCAGGCAGGAGCCACTCTGTTACCTTGTGAGCTCCCGGCCCAAAGGTGTGACTTGGGCCAGGCAGGGGCCATGGGATCACCCTGGGGACCCCCAGCCCCTCACCGTCAGCAGAGAAGGCGATGGCCGTCAGCGCAGCCAGGTGTGGATGCATCTTGAGCTCCATGGAGATTCGAGAGACGTTGAAGACACGCAACGTGCCATCACTGTAACCTGCCGCCATGTGCTGCTGTTCTGGGCGCCCACAGGATGGGGGGCTCCAAGCCAAGCAGAGGCAACTCTGGGGACCCCAGTGGGGAAACATCAGCACTCCCCTGGGGAGCAAGATGGGGCCCAAACCCAAGGCCGAGGACAGACACTGAGGCTGAAGGGAGGGTGCAGCTCCCAGAGTCCTTCAGTGGAGAGGCAGGGTCCCACCCCAAGCGCGCACGTATACACACACACACACACACACACACACACAGCCCCTGGTGCCCTGAATACCTGGTTCAGCACCTGGAACTGGATTACCAGCTCCATGCTGGACAAGGACCACACCCGCACACTCCCATCGTCTCCACACGTGGCACAGTGGGACTCGCTGGGGCTGAAGACCACCTCGTTCACCTGCAGGTAGCCAGCCAGCCCTGAGGCCCCGTGGCCCTCGGGCACAGGACACAGTGGGGCCAGGTCATTCCTATGAGAGCACGTGTCTCCTTCCCAAGCCCGCCTGGCCATGGTCACCTCCACGTGGAGTAAAGAAACTGTCCTGACCTCCCTCCCGAGTGCCCCACACAAGACCTGGGTGGAATTCAAATTGTCAGGAGCCCACCTGCCATTGAACCCGACTGGGACACCAGAGAAGTGTTCTGGAAGAACCTAAAACGTGGTGAAGGGCCCTCGCCATTTTGGCTCAGTGGATAGAGCATGAGCCCACAGCCTGAAGGGTCCTGGGTTCAATTCAGGTCAAGGGCACGTACCTCGGTTGCAGGCTCAATCCCCGGCCAGGGTCAGGGCTCATGCAGGAGGCAAACAGTTGATGTCTCTCTCACTGATGTTTCTCTCTCTCCGTCTCTCCCCCTCCCTTCCAATCACTCTAAAAACCAATGGGAGTGAGGATTAACAAAAATAAACCAACAAAAAATAAATAAAACGTGGTGATGGGACAGCACATCCCGGAGGACTGCAGACTAAAGGTAAAGGAAGCACGAGACACACTGCAGGCCAGTGCAGGGGCCTCGCCGCCGGTGCTGGTGGCGTGGCTTTTCCGGAGATTGTCGCGTGTGCACCGAGGGAGAAAGCAGGCGTGTGACTACTGCGAGTCAGGGTTTTGGGTGTGGGAAAACGGGGATACAGACGCCATACACCAATGAGGTAAAATAAAATGGCCTAGTTCTGCATTTAAATTTCAAATGTCAGTATGAACTCATGATGCATTTTATCTTTAAGAATAATAATTCAGCTCTGTCTGGCTGAGAAATGACGGGCCTGCTGGAGGGAGCTGCAGGGGGAGGGCCTGGGCACTCTGTCACTCCACGTGAGAGGGACCTTCGGCTTCGGTCCAGACTCAGGACCCAAATGCTCTTCCCCGATGGGTGGACACACACAGTGTGCCCTGCCTGCACCACGGGACAGTATTTGGCAATAAGGAGAGAAGCCCTGACACACGCTTGCGCAGATGAACCTGGAGGCCGTGCTGCTCAGCGAGAGAAGCCCGACGGAGAGGGCCGCACGGGGTGTATCCGTTTGTGTGGAAAGCTGAGAACAGGTAAATCCACGGTTAGTGGCTGTCAGGGGATGGGAGGCGAGTGCTTGATGGCATGGGTTTCCTGTTGGGGTGATGAAGATGCTCAGAAATGGGCTGTCGTGATAGTTGTACAAGTCTGTGAACAGACTGAAAACCACGGGGTTTGAATGGCTGAAGCGTATGGCGTGTAAATTATACCTCAGTATAGAACTGTTACCAAAAAATAGAAAAAGCCTATCACCCTTACTCCTCTCAAACTTAATTTCTTCGATGGATGTCATTATTTCCCAACAAATACATACAGATGTAAAAAAGAACTCGGTCGCCAACTCAAAGAACCCGTCACCGGCCGAAGCCAGGGCTCTGTGAGCAGTGACCCCGGGGAGGCGGCCGCATGCACACCCACCAGCTCTCACAGACTCGGGAAGGAAACACATTGGCTGTTGGCAGAATCAGCCCTGCACCTGGAAACCTGGTCCGTAAGGGAGAGAACCAGCGATCCCGCAGCTCCTGTCCCAGCTCTGCCTCAGCAAACCCAACTCCACCGAGGTGACGGGCACGCTGGAAAGGGCAGCGCTGAAGGGCAAGCGGCCCCACGTGCTTCCTGGTGGGACACAGCTCGCCCAGGAGGAGCTGTGGGGCTGACCGGCCTGACCAGGTTCTGGCAGCCTCCAGGTTCTCGGACCCCAGGGAACGTGGGAGCAGAACGGCAGGTCCAACCCTGGTCTGTGGACACCCAGGGATGGACGACCTGGTTTCTTTGCCAAGTAAATTACAAGGGAAAAGGCAACAGAGGAAAGAGGAAGGAGAAGAGGCCAGGCCTGTGTGCTGGCGCGAGTGGACACGGCGTGGACTGTGTCAACACAAGACAATGTGCAGTTCTAAGTGTGGGGCATCCTTATCCTGAAAACCTGAACTATTGACGCGTGAACTAATCCCACAGCTGGGCTTGACTCGGAACGACAACTGGGGGTTGGGGGACACAACACAGACCAGGGAGTGACTGTGGGGCTCACAGCCCTGCCTGCGTCCAGGGGGGAAACCACCTCAGACATCGGACGGACAGCCGGGGGCCCAGCAGCCTCACCTTGCTCCTGTGGCCGCTGATGAGGCGGGTACTGGTGCCCTCGGCCCAGCTGACATACCAGAGCGTGCCCGCTGTGGTGCCCACCACACCCATGTCCATGCTCTCGTGGAAGACAGCGCTCACAATGGCCCCGTCCAGGGTCAGCTCTCGCTCCATGAACACAGAGCTGGACCTGGGGGAAGCAGAGGGTCCCGAGTGGTGGCAAGGGGAGCCCAGGGAGCCTGGTGCTTCTGGGGTGCGCCCATGTTCGTGAGCTCTGGCCTCCCCCAAGCAGGTCCCCACAGAGGGCAGGCCCAGCTGGCAAGAGTGCTGGCTTACAGCCTGGTCAAGGACGCCGGCTAACGCGGAGGCTCACCTGGCTCCGGAGCCCTTGCGCCTCAGCTCCGCCACAGCTCCCACGGCCCACAGGCGCAGCCGCCTGGTGTTGCTGCCACTGACCAGCCGCGATCCCGAGCACAGCAGCACTCCTAAGAGGCAGATGTGGCATGAGCTGCTTCCCCAGATGCCCAGGACTCGACAGGGTCCTATTGCCCCAGCACTGGGGCTCCCAGGGAGAGGCCAAGCCCCTAGCTTAGGGGGGGGGCCCGCAGGGGCTCCTCGGGCACCCACCGATCTCACCGTCGTCAGCCTCCCAGGCCAGGAAGCAACGGCTGGCACTCGTGTCCCAGACACAGACCTGGCCGGCATTGGAGCCGCAGTACAGCAGCGGCTCGGCCCCATAGCACAGGGACGTCAGCTCGCCCGCCCCCACCGTCTCGGGGATGGGCTCTCGGTGCACCTGGAGGGACACGAGGGCAGTGTGGGTCAGTAATGCCCCAGGGCCCGGCTGGACCCATCCTTCAAAACTGCCTCTGGACCCGGGCACCTGGAGGCTGATGTCGGCCCCGCGCTGCTGCAGGAGCCACAAGGTGAGGGCACCCTGGCCCACACAGGCGAGCTCCCCGGCACCCCAGGGGTTGAAGGCCATGTCGTGCACCGGCTCTGGGAGGTGGGTAGACGAAACGAGCTCATAGGTGGCCATGCTCCACAGGGCCAGGGTTCGGTCACCATAGTCCCCTAGGGAGATGCATGGTGGTCACATCAGCTGCCCCGGAGTCCCAGGACAGGCAGGGGAGTCCAGAGGCCACTGCCCTCCGCACACCCCCTCCCCCCAGCCGACCTAGTGTGACAAGGAGCCGATCATCCAGCGAGAAGGCTAGGGCTTGCACAGCGGTGCAGTGGTGAGAAAGGAGCTGCTGGCAGGAACCCCCAGGCACATCCCAGATGCGGATCTGGCAGCCAGAGGCGGCACCACTACTCCCGGAGGCCGAGGCCAGGACCTGGCAGGGTGGGTGAGGGGGAGGTGGTGAGTGGGATGAGGGCAGTCCAGGGGGTACTGGCTCTGGGTGGGTGGGAGGCCCCCGTGCTGCTCTGGAGGCCCTACAGGAGGCATACCACCACCGGGCGTGGGAGGGGCACCTGGGCGTCGTTGCTGAGAGCCAGCGTGGAGATCTCCTCGGAGTGGCCGAGCCAGTGCTGCTGGGAGCCGGAGTGCAGGTCCTCCACTACCACCAGGCAGCCGCAGGTGTAGGCAAAGAAGCCTGTAGCAGGGAGGGAGCCCCAGAGCTGGTCTGCTGTGGCCCTGTCATCCTCCCTACAGGTTCTGGGCTGGGAGCGGGGCGGGCGGTGTCCGTGGTCCCTACCTGTGTCTGGCCTCCAGATCACGTTGGCCCGCCCATTCCCGTTGTAGCCCACAACAGCCTTCAGGTGCAGCCACTCGCCCCCCGCAGGAGGGGAGGAAACGTTCTGTGAGAAAGTGGTCCAGGATGCTTACGTGTGGCACAGCACCCAGCCACCCCACCCCACCCCCTGCCACCTCAGGCTGTGTCCCCTCAGGCTGGGCCTGGGACGAAGCTATGGGAGGTACATGCCGGGATGGGACAAATGGCAAGAGCGTGGGCCCAAAAGCCTACACATGAGAGGCCAACTGGGGATGGAAGCTGGGGGTGCAGACGGGGAGGCAGGAGTGGGAGATGTGGGCGGTCCCTGGAGTCCGGGAAGGGCAGACAGGGATAGCAAGACCCAGAGGCCCTCAAGGACAGGACACGCAAGGAGGCAGGACCATCTGGTGGAGACAGTGGGCTTAGCAGGACACGGGCTGAGTGTCCGAGTGACAGGGAAAGCACAAGTGCACGGTAAAACGGTACCTGTGAAGTGACCACTGTCAAGGCCTGCACCGCCGTCAACTTTGGCAGCAGCGCCAGGGAGACCCGGGGGAACCCATGAATTAGGAAGAAGGGACACTCCCAGAAACCACAGGGCTGTGCCACCCTCACCCCCGACCCTCTGGGTGTCCACCTGCGGCAGAGGCTGTGAGGATCCCACCCCGGTACAACCTTGGCCATCAGGGAGGCTTTGTAGCGTGCTGTGAAGTGTTTGTAGGCGTCCGGGCGGGCAGTGGGCTGGGTCCTGGCTCTCCTGAGGCTCCAGGCACCTGGCAGAGAGGAGGAACCATTCAGAGACCCCTCCCTCACACACCCACCTGGCCCCGGCTGACAAGAGCACCCGACCCAGGAAACACTCAGGGTCAGAGGATGCATATGAGCCACATCCCAGCGCCCGGCCTCACAGCAGCCTCAGGCTGATCCACTTCCCTTTAAGTGTAGGCCTCATCTCATGGGGTGAACCCCAACCTGGGGCCCATGGGTACCTACATCTGACCCCAGCCCCTTGCTTACTAGGCTGGCCATGGGGGTGGGGCAGCACGCTGGGGTCCCAAGGGCGCCCTGCGGCCCCGTCTCCAGCCCCACAGGCCTCCTTCTGCACCAGCACGGGTGGGCCTGGGGCCTGGCAGAGCCCCTCAGGGCTGTGGCTCTCCTCAGGGGGTCCTTCATCTGACACAGAGGAAGTGCCTAGGGAAGTTGGGGGGCAGTGAAAGGAGGGCACAGGGCCCCCTACACCCCTTCCTCTCCGCACAGACCTGGAGCAGCACCCAAACACGCCGACAAACAGGCCTGCCCAGGTGCTCCGGGGCTGCTGGCCTTACCATCGCCGCCATCTAAGGGCCCAGCACAGATGCTCAGCTGGGGTGGGGCTGCCTGGGATGGCACGGGCCACCGAGGGAGCCCATTGGTCCCGGACAGCGCATCCTCCTGCTGACTTGCATTTGGACCTGGGGATGGAAGAGGCTGTGCTGTGCTTAGGGACTGAAGAGGACAGAGCGCAGAGGGAGAGGGTGCCTAGTCCCCCACCCTCATGCACTGGGACCCTCAGGACCGGAAGCAGCACCATGCCACTCCCAGTGGCTGCAGTGCCAACACGAGTCACCACAGACCTTCCACTGCGGTGCGACCACTCACAGCCTCACAGGTTGGGGGGGGCCCGGGTGAGCCTGGGACGCTGCAGAGGCAACAAGAGAGGGTGTCAGGCGGGGAGGGTGCAGCAGGAGGCCTGGCAGATACAGGTCAAGGGCACTTGCCTTTCTGGGGGCGACCTCTCCGGGGAGGCCAGGATGTCCCAGAGGAAGATGGCATCTCCCACGCTGAGGAGATGCTGCTGGTCAGGGGTGAAGGCCACAGCCTGCACGGGCTCCGAGTGGCCAATGTACACCTGGGGGCAGCACATTTCACACACAGAGACCCCACTGTTCTCCCACAGCCAGGCCCGACCAGAATGGTGGCCGGGCAAGAGGTCCCCGTGGGGTCAGGCTCCACGGGTCATCGTCCACCCTCCTCCTCACCCGCCTGCTACACCCACCCACGTCCTGTGCAGCACCCACCTGGCAGCTGGGGTCAGACTGCGTTAAGTAGTCCCACACCTTGATGGCTCGGTCGGCAGCTGTCAGCAGCAAGCGGGCATCCCCGCTGAGAGCCAGGGCGGAGCAGGCCACGGGGTGCACATCACAAAACTGCAAGAGAACATTCTCGTGGGGAGACGATCAGAGCACATGAGCCCCCTGAACCCGGGGAACCTCCCTTCTCAAAAAATGCACCTCTCAGGAGTGGAAGGCGGCCCAGCACCCCCTCCTCAGGCACGGGGACACCAAGATGGGCGCCAAGGGGACACCAAGCCACCGGCCCCGACCCGGGACTCACCTCTCGAACCAGGCGGCCCGATATGGCGTCTAGCACCACAACCTTGTTGGATGACAAGGACACCAGCAGGTGGCTACGGGGTGCGGGACTGAAGCAGACAGCCACAGCCGAGTCCAGGCCGCTGCTGGCCGGGTCCAGGGCACTGACGTCCACCCGTAGCAGCTGGGAGAGAGCAGCAACTAGTCATCAGCCATGGCCTCTGGGCAGAGCTGACGCTCCCAGAGCCAGGGCACAGGAGGCAGGTAGCCTGGGGCAAGCCCCACACCCTCCCCTGGCTGGCCCGCCCTGGGCACACCATGTCCTCTGTGCCTGCGAGTGAGGACAGCAGGGCCCGGGTCCTCTCTGAAGTGAGCGTGGCCTCCCACCTGCTCCCTTGATGGGTCGCACTCCACACAGGGCCAAGGAGAAGCCCTGGCGGAACCCCGGGGAGCCACATGGCCGAGAGTTGTAACACCCATGGGGTCTGCTGGCCAGGCTGGTGCAGGCCCGCCCACCTTGGGCACACGGAAGGTTCTGGCTGACTCACATCATCCAGGGAGGCTGCGTCCATGATGGTCACCATGTACTTAAAGGGACCCATGAAGGCCAGCAAGCGGTTGTCCCCACTGACGGCCAAGGCGTTGGGACTTGGGAGGGCATCCCGGCACACCACGTTGGCTGCCGGAATCACAGGGGCCGGTGGTCAGCCGGGTGGGAAGGGGGTGCCCAGAGCAGGCACAAAACCTGCCCACAAGTGCAGACACCATCCCAGGGGCCTGAGCATCAGGGCGCCAAAGCACCCAGGGCCCAGGTCTGCCAGAATATAGCTGGGGTTCCCCTGGGCCACGTGACCCCCCCAAGGGGCCATCGGACTGGCCATGGGAGGGGCAGGTACCCTGGGGGGGCCTACCCTCTGCCAGCCTGGCGCTCAGGCTGTTCACCTTCTTCTGGGTGGGGCAGAAACAGACCCTCGCAGGCCTTCTGTTTGGAGGGCTCGGTGTGTCCTAAAACCACACTTGCCCTGGGCGTCTAGGTAGTGAGGCCACAGAAGGCAGCTTACTGCTGGCAGTGGACACCAGGCAAGCCCACCCCCACAGGAACCCGACGAGGGGCAGGCTGGGAGGCTGCGGTGGGGCCGTGCAGGTGCGGGGCGAGGGGTGGGGGTGGTGTCTAACCTGCAACACGCAGGACGCGGCAGCAAGTGGCAGTGCAGTGGTACTGGGCCAGGGCGCCCTGAGAGCAGGCACTGAACAGGAGGCTGCCATCGGGGCTGGTGACCAGGCCGGTGATAGCTCCTTGGTGACACCTGCCCACACAGGGATGCCCGCTGCCTTGGCCCCGCGTTGGACCCTCCCTGACCAAGTCCCCCAGGGGCAGCAGAGCAGGAGGCTCCTGGAGACAGCCCTCCCCTGCTCTGCCCGGCCACCCACACACCCCAGGGGACCCCACGAGTATCCACCATAGGCATCCGTGGAGCCAGGGGCCCGCTGGGCACCCACCTGTGTTCCACCAGGACCCTGGTGGCCTCCAGGCTGAAGGAGCGGACGGCCCCGCTGCTGAAGCCGCAGAAGAAGACTGGCTGCGTGGGATGGAAGGCGACTGCACACGGCGCTTCCTCGGGCGACGTGAAGTCGTAGAGCTGGAGGGTGGGGCCGTGTGAGGGCAGGCAGGGTGGTCGCTACCAGCCGGCCAGGAGAACCTGAGAGCTAGTCTCTCTTCAGGTGGCCTGAACCAGAGGATCCCCAACACGGGCCACAGGACGAAGTGCACCAAGGGTCCTCCCCAGCCCCCCACTAGCCTGGGCCCTGCCCCCCAGGCCTCAGCATGGCCTGTGGCTCTCCAGCCCCCCCCCCCCTCTACCTGCTGCAGGGTTGACAGATCCCAGACTCGGACAGTGTGGTCCTGGGACACGGTGGCCAGCTGTCCTCGGCTGCACTCGGTGGCGAGGGCCAGCACCGGGGCAGTGTGGGAGCGCACCAGCACATTATACTCCCGGGAGGGGACGTCCAGGAAGCCCAGATGGCCCGAGGAGGTGGTGGACAGCACATGCAAGCCATCGGGGCTGAGTCGGACTGAGCTGATGGGGCCTTCGTGCTCTGCAGGCAGGGTAGCTGGGTGACCTCCCAGGCAGGGTGGTGGGTGACCTCCCAGGCAGGGTGGGCCGGCACCAGGGCAAGCTGGCCACATCCAGGATGCACCTCCCTCCCAGCCCCCCATGACACACACTCGTTTCCTTGCTGCCTAGAGCCCCGTCTTCCTGTGGACGGGGTCAGGCGGCTCCCCCGTGGCCACCCACTCCTGGCTCAGCAATGGTGGGTCCCAGGGTCAGGATGAAGCTTCTCAGAGCCCTGACTGCCATCTAGCCCAGGGCTGGACCCTGATGGCGAGCTACTGTCTTGTCCTACCTGCCTCCAGGAGCACAGAGGAGAAGTCCAGAGGCCAGAGGCGCAGGTAGCCGTCCTCCGAGCCCACCGCACACTCAGCCTGGGAGACGCTGAGGCTGCTGATGGCGATGCCGGGGCCTGGAGGGAGGCAGCGTCAGCAGAAGCATCAGGGCTGCTCCGCCCCCACAGCAGGGACTACTTACCCAAGCTGAAGGCCTGCTTCTGTGGGAGGGGGCTGCCGGGAGTCTGCGTGGGCAGGAGATAGCGAGCGCGCCGCACAGCCATGCGCTGGTGGTCGATCTCCAGGATGTGACCACTACGGCTGCAAACGTAGCTGCCCGGAGAGGCAACAGGTGAGGGCCGAAGGGCCAGACGGAACGGGACGGGCTGGTTAGAGGACAAGGGCAGTACTCACAGCGTGTGGCCGTCCTGGGCCTTCCCAAAGGCCAGGTCCGTGAACTCGACTGCGTGATGCTCCCCCAGGTCCACAGGGCAGGAGCACAGGCCCCCACCGCGAAGCCGCCACAGCCGCACATTGCCCCGCCCGCACGACGCCATCCTGCGAAAGGGTATGAGGGTGAGTTATCCCATCCCCACGGGGAGAGGAGGCTGCTGTGGACGAGGGCCCTGAGTGAGGAAGGGGAGGCAGGCTCAGTGGTTCACCCCCCTCCAGGCCCATGGGCGGCCAGACCCCCAGCCCAGCACTGCAGGAGGACAGGAGGCCCGGTTACCTGGTTTCATTACAAAAGGCGATCTCAAAAGCCTGGATGTCGACGTCGGTGTTTGCCTTTGCGAGAATGACGGCCTCACCGCCTCGCCCCACCTGGTCAGTGCCCCAGGCCACCACCATCTGCAACAAGTCCCTGCTGAGCCCCTGCTGCACCAGCCTGCCCTGCTCGGCCCCCACTGGGCTCTTCTCTCCTATGGGAGCGGCCTGAGCACTCAGCTGGTGAGAGTGGGGGTGGGGGGCAGCCCCACTACCCCGGCGGGACCTCCACTTGCCCCACCCGGCTTCGGACATAAAACCCAGCTGCCCTATGACTCCAGAACATGCCACCAAAGAAAGCGAGGCGAGTTATTTAAATGTTGACTCTAGCCCGGCCGGCGTGGCTCAGTGGTTGAGCATCAGACTATGAACCAGGAGGTCACAGTTCGATTCCCAGTCAAGGGCACATGCCTGGGTTGCAGGCTCCATCCCCAGTGTGGGGCATGCAGGAGGCAGCTGATCAATGATTCTCTCTCATCATTGATGTTTCTATCTCTCTCTTCCTCTCTGAAATCAATAAAAAATATATATTGGCCCTAACCGGTTTGGCTCAGTGGATAGAGCATCGGCCTGCGGACTGAAGGGTCTCAGGTTTGATTCCGGTCAAGGGCATGTGCCTTGATTGCAGACACATCCCCAGTAGGGGGTGTGCAGGAGGCAGCTGATTTGATGTTTCTCTCTCATTGATATTTCTTTTTTTTTTTAATATATTTTATTGATTTTTTACAGAGAGGAAGGGAGAGGGATAGAGAGTTAGAAACATCGATGAGAGAGAAACATCGATCAGCTGCCTCCTGCACGCCCCCTACTGGGGATGTGCCCGCAACCAAGGTACATGCCCTTGACCGGAATCGAACCTGGGACCCTTGAGTCCGCAGGCCGTCGCTCTATCCACTGAGCCAAACCGGTTAGGGCTCATGGATATTTCTAATATTCTATCCCTCTCCCTTCCTCTCTGTAAAAAATCAATAAAATATATTTAAAAAATATATATATATATAAAATAAAAATAAAATAAAAGTTGGCTCCACCCACAAGGGGTGTAAAGCACAAGATACTCTGCAGTGTGTGGGAGGCGGGGGGCCTCCCGGCGGGGCCAGGGAAGGCCAGCGGGGGAAGGTGCTTCCTGAGCGATTTGGACATTGCCCCGCTTCCTCGGCCCGCCCTGTTACCATCTTCCCATGGCGGTCCTTGCCAATGCAGCAGAGTAGTGCCCCACTGTCGGAGAAGCTGTGGACGTGGAAGAGACAGTCAGTGTCACCGGGGCTGCCCCCACCCACCTCAGCGGCCCCTCACCCACCTGAGGGAGCAGACGGTGTGGACAGGGCTCCGGAACAGGGACAGGCAGCTCCTGGTCTGGAAGTCCCAGAGACGCAGCATGCCGTGGGGGTGTGCCTGGGCTGAGGCCAGCAGAGAGTTGCTCCCATCCAGTGCCAGGGCAGAGACCTGGGGAGGTGGCAGGTTGAGGGAAGTGGTGCAGCCTTTGGGTGCAGGCCACCCCTGGGCCAGGCGGTCCCCACCTTGTCTGTGTGGCCGAGGAAGAAGCACTGCTCCCGGGTGTCAATGCACAGGACCACAATGATCGCGTGGCAGGGGTACACGACAGCAGCCCCATCCTTGGTCCACAGGGCCTGTGCACGGGGGTCGGAGGCTGAGGTCGCAGGCTGGCGGGCCTCGCCTCCCCACCCTGGCATACCTTTCCCCACATAATGTGCACAGGAGTCAACGGGATGCACACAGCAAAGAAATAGGAGACTTACAGACACATGAATACACGTGCAGGCGCGCGCACACACAATACACGTGCAGGCGCGCGCACACACACACACAGTTTTCTCTGAGCCCTGTCTGCAATGCAGGAAACTTTGGAGTTCAGGCCATGAAAAACCAGAGAGCCCGCAAAGACTTGGAGCTTGTGTCCAGGAGGGCCTGACAAGCCAGGGCCTCCTCTCCCACTGTCCCCGACCGCACCCCACAGGGATCCACAAGTCATGCCCACACCAGCCCCATGCGGCTGCATCAAAGCTTTAGAGGGTAAGAGCTCACTGGTCTCTGGAAGCTCAAACACTTAGACCAACACTGACCAGCCGGCACTCGTGCGAACAAAGGGGGCCTGTGAGTGACGGTCACTGAGGAAGCACTGAGCCACCGTGCAGATGTGAGCAAGAAGGGAACGCACACAGCAACCTCAGGGGACATAAGGCCTTTCCTCTGACACTTGTCCAACCCAACGAGAGCATGGGACCCCTCACCCATTTAGTGCTGTGGCCCCCAAGGCCAATGACTCTCTTGAGCCTCAGGACCGGATCTGGCAGGAAGCTCTGAAACAGGCAAACTCACTGTGAGACCCCAGAAAGCAAGACCCGGTCCAGCCAGGGCTGCCCACCTGGGCTGGTTCCTGCCTCCCAACACGCTGCTTAGGACTGGGGGGCTGCTTTTGACTGCTCTGCGGCAGGAAGTCGGGATTCCGGCAACACTGCCAGACCCTCCCACTGCTGCCCCTGAGGCTCCTGGGGCTGGGAGTTGGGAGCCGGGCACCAGACCCTCCTTACTCTTTGTTGAAATAAATTTTTGCCCAAAGCTGCTTCCTGCCTACTCTGCTTTCTGCCAGGGGGCTGATGAGAAGGGGCCTAACTGCCCCAAGCATGGCTTGTGGTGAGCCAAGGCCCAAGATCCCCCTACCCACCTCACCAAGGCCCCTCCCACCTCAATGGCTTAGACTCCCCTGCCTTCCTCAAGGCATGCACTCACCTCATGCTTGGTTGCATCCTCTGGGGCCGGGGGCACCACAGCCGCAGACACCGGAGGGCCACTGCCAGCAGCAAGCTTGTGAGTGGCCTTCGCGCTGGCTGGGGGCTCTCGTCTATCAACCCCGGAGCCACCCACGATGGAGACTTCTGAGCATTCAGAGGACAGGCCATCCTCTGGAAGGAGCCCCAAGGAGGCCTGCCAGGACTGTGGAGGGGACAGTGTCCGCCAGACCCTGGGGCTACCTTCCTTAGCCCCATGTCTAGGGGCACAGGCACTCACAGCTGTGGGGCCAAGCGTCTGAACCACAGGGGACCCGCTGTCCGGCCTGGACCTGCTGAAGGGCCCTGGGCGAGGGAGAAGCTGTGGCACATGTCTCGGGAAGCCTGCAATGAAGCAAAGGGCAGAACCCACTGAGCAGAGTGACGAGGCCTGAGAAGGATGTGGCAGAAGGCACCGGGCAGGGCAGCAGAGAGAGAAGCCACCTCGTCAGCCGCAGCCCGCCACTGCCCCCAGGCTCCGGCACCCCTCCCGGCTGGAGAGCTCGAGGCCCCCAGGCACCCTCCACGCAGCCTGCCAAATGAATCTGGGACCGCGGGATGACCTCCAGGCTAGCCCGGGCCCTTGCAGGCACCACACCGGAGTTCACCACCCAGACACCATGCCGGGACCCCATCTCTGCACGCCCACAGGCCCACCTGCCTCAGGAGGGGAGCAGTTCCTCTGGACCAGCTTGGAGGGCGCTGCTGGGCTGTCGCTTGGAAACCTCAGTGGGGCAGAGGGAGAATCAGCACAGTGTCCACCCTGCCCTCCCCTGCCAGCCGCCCTGGGACAGGCAGAACTGCTCACCGGATGTGAATGTAGTGGTCGTGCCAGTTCTCCCCCTTTGGCACTGGAAACGCCATTTCTCGAGGCATGGGGGTGACGGGCAGCTTTGCCCGCCGGGCCTCGGCGACAGTGACAGCTACAAAGAGCAGAGTTGCTCCAGGTCTAAGGAAGCCCGGCCAGCAACCTCTCCCAGCCCAGGCGAGCCTCAGCACACCAGGTGCTTGCAGAGTATCGCCTGAACATCTGCCCAGCCACCGCCTCCTCCCATCAGTGTCTTGGGAGCTAGGGCAGCAAGGGCACCTTCGCCAAGTGCCAAGGCCTCTCCTGGGCAGAGAATCTGGGGAGAGGGCTGGGTTTGGAGCAGCCCACCGGTAGGCTAAGTGCAGGGCGTGGGGCACAGCCCTCACCTGGGTCGAAGCACAGATCGCTGGTGTAGAGGTTTCGGACCAGCAGGCTGGCACACAGCCGGACGCTCTTGAGATGGCTGTAGCGCCGGTTCAGGTAGACAAGGAGGAGGTCGTGCAGGTCCAGCTGCAGGCAGGTCCAGCGGGCACCAGGGGGAGCCGCACCTGCCAGGTCTGCAGGAGGCAAGTCAAGGTCAGCAGTGCCCATCCTCTCACCAGCCAGCCCACAGTGCCTTCTGTCCTTGGCCTGACCCCATCCCCATGGCCAAAACCATGTGCCCCCGACTCGGGCTGCCCCACTCCAGGCCACAAAGGAGCCCGACTGGGCCTGCCCCGCCTGCCCCTGGGCCTGCCCTACTTCCCAGTCCGCCCTCAGGCTGTCTCCCGGACCATCCCTGTCCCATTCACGTCCCATCTCTGCGTCACCTTTCCTGGACGTCCCTTCACAAATAAAGGGGAACTGAAGCCACGTGGCTGTAGACTTGAATTCCTTGAAGAGGTTGGAAAGGGATACACGGATGACCTGCCTGTCCTGCAGGGACAAAGGTGGCCGTAAGGAGACAAGAGGTGGCCCCGGGGGTGCAGAGCCCCCACCACAGACCCTGCTCCCAAGCTCAGCACCTCAGTGGACAAGTCCAGGTGGATGACGAAGTGCTTGGTGGACAGGGGTCGGAAAAGCAAGTACAGGTATCGTCCTGTCAGCCCCAGGGACTGCGTGCTGGTTTTGGGGAGCTGGATGTAATTGCTGGCGGAGACAGTGCCTCTAATGCGATACACAGTGCACTTTAGGGTCTTGTCCTGGAGAAAGAGATGGGAGTGTGCCCCACAGAGCCAGGGAGCACCAGGAGAGGCGCTGCCCGCCTGTGTCCAGGCAGAGAAGAGGACCCCACCCGGCCTGCTGCCAGGCCTTCTGGCTCCCTTACCATCACCGTGGCCACGTCGCCCTCCTTAGTGGACCGCTTCCACTCGTCCACCTTGAACTGTCTGAAGACGTTGAGGAATGGGTGCTGCCACACTGGGGGGACAGGGAGGTGTGTGGGGACCTGCCCCAGGTGCCGGACCCAGGGAGGGGCCGGGGTCTGGGTCTGCACGCTCCCCAGTAGTGACAGCAATCAAAGTGCGAGTACTGGGTTCGGGGCCCAAGATCGGCACCAACCCGCCCAAGGGCCTGTGATTGGCGCTGACGAAGCCAGGCCGCAGGCTCAGTGCGCACCGGCCACCGGACCCTGCCCGCCCCCCCCGCCTCAGGACCCCGGACCGCTCGGCCCCCCACCCGGGTCTGCGGGCCGCGAGCCTACCTCGCGCCATGGCGCAGCCGCTTGCACTCAGCTTGCACTTCCCGCCTCGGCCGCCGCGCGACCCACGCAGGGCACGCAGCGCGCGCCTAGCAACCGCCGCCTGGCAACGGCGTCACTTCCGCCTTCTGGACCACGTGATCTCCGGCCGCAATCCCCACCTTAGCGGGCGCTGGGTTCGCGGTATGGTCTCTTGGGAGTCTCCCGAGACCCTGCCCAGCCTGCTCCGGCCACCCTTTCGCTGTCGCAACCTGGGGTAAGAACCTTTGTCCCAGATCCCTGTGGGTACTCTCAAGCCAGGACCCAATAGGGGGGCTCTAGCAACACCAGCTATGGGATCCAGGGAGGTTCCTGACTCGTTCTGGGGTCCATCTCCATTTCCAGAATGACACGCACCCCCAGGAGCGGCCCACACCCACTGACAGCCCAGCCCTCTGGAGGGAGCGTGCACACCTGGGTACTCCCACTTCATCCTGTCAGCCGTGAGGTCACCTGCCCAACAAGGTAACAGTGTCCCACAAGACCCGAGGGCTGAGCAACCCCAGCTCCCATAATCATCTGCCAGGGTTCCCCCAAAACCTGTGGGACACCTTCCTCCACTGTCCCACGCCAAGTCTGGGAGAGAGGACCAGGGATCCTGAGCCCTGGCCCCAATCCGGGGACCCTGGGACCCCATCCCAGATCCAGGTACAAAACATTGATGGGCCTCCAAGCTGGGCTCAGGCACCTGCCAACACCAACAGGGAGAGGAAGCAGGAGTGGGTGCCCGGGGGGGCAGGGTGAGGTTCACAGACCCCCAAGGAAGATGAGCTGGCCCCAGCACCTCTGGCAGGACCCAGGAGAGCAGCTACGCAGAGCTGAGAGGATCCCTTCTACCCCCCACACACCAAATAAAGGCCACTCTGAAAAGGCAGTTTCTTGACTTTATTAACCTGGAGCTCTGCCATACCAGCCCCAGGGGCTGGTCCCCAGGCACAGTGAGCAGGATTGAGGTCAGACAGGTTCAGCCCCTGGCAGCCTGGCACAGCTGGGCCAAGGGGTCAGAAGGTACAAAAGTCCAAATGCTGGCACTTCAGGTGTGGCTGGCGTCCAGCCTGGCCCAGAGGGAAACACGACCTGCTGCAGTGGGTACACGTGGTCTCCTCCTAGCAGAGATCTGCCATGTGGCAGGGCCAGGCCCGTGCAGGCGACGTTCCTTCCAAAGCGGCGGCTAGGAGCAGTTAGTGATTCTGGCCAGGAACTGCTGTGCCCACCACTCATCCAGGTCGATGGGCACGAAGTCTGTGGGCAGAGCAGAAGGCTGGGCAGTGATGTCGCCTCCCAACCTGTCAGCATCTCTCCCCCTCAAGCTGACCACAAGCCCCTAACCCAGACCCCAAACGTGGCAGGCCGCTGTGAAGATGTGGGTCAGGTTCAAGTCCCCTCGGCTATGCCCTGGGACTAGAACCTGGCAGGGCCCAGGTCACTATGGCAGGGAGTGGAGGGGTCTCCCTGAGGGTGGGGGAGGGCTCACTTTGCAGTCTGGGGTTGGGGGTCCTCTCGACATACTGCACAGGCCTCGGACTGCTCTCACCGGCTGGGCCACCACCCAGCTGCTGCTCCACTTGCTGCCAGGCTGTAGGGAGAGGACAGTCAGGCTGAACCAGGTCCCTGGAACCCTGTCTCCCCCCCCCCCCCCAGGGCCTGGTGGCCACTCTGGACCACAGCCCAGAAGTGGAAGTAGGCAGCCTTCTGGACTGTCGCAGGACAAACAAGTTGAGAGCCCAGGAAGAACCCAGCGCTCTCGCAGCTGCAAGTCGGGTTACAGTGGGGACGAGGACCAGTGGCCCAGGCCATAACCTCGAGCCTCCAAACTACCTTCGGACACAAAGCGGACATTCTCTTCGTGGGCCAGTGTGTAGGTCTCCTGGGTCGCCCCGGCGGATGGGGATGTGGTAGGGGGCCGCCGGCCATTCACTCGGTTGAACACAAGCCTTGGCCCTGGACTGTGG